TTCTCCGGTTTGCTGAGGGTCTGTGCCTGTTGCTTTCCCCTTCGTCACGTTACAGACAGAGGGAGGCCTGTCTGGGGTGCATCGGGATGTGAAGTAGATGCTACAGAGCGGGGCAGGCTGCCTCCAGCTTGACTGCAGAAGGCTTTTTGTAAGGCTTTTTGCCACCAATTCGTTATTGCTGGTACAGTACAGTTCCAATGTATGCTTAAACCAGGTAGCTCCTCAGCTGGCTCCCTGCAGCGCCCATCACCGTGCTGTTCAGGGGCAAGCTGTTGGGCTCTCATGCGCTCCAGCAAGGAGTGCATGGAGCACATACTTAAACACGTCAAATTAAAATTTCATGAAAGCCAGCGCTGCTTTCAACAGCCAAAAGGGTGTTCTCCGTATTCCTAAGGTTATTTTGCAAAGCACACTAATGCACCTGACCCAGACACTAAGGCCAACATATTTTAAAAAGGTACCAGTTTATATGGCAAAACCCATGCAGCAATAATCTCATTGCACGTCACTAACCGTTCCTGGTCTGTTAAAATGACTATGTAAAGTCAAAGATTTCAAAGGTATGACCAGGTGAGCTGCAAGTGGGAGTGAGAAACGTGGTCAATGGTGTGCACTCCTGAAGGAGCAGATACTGAAAAAAAAAACTTTCTTTGCTTCTCTTAGCTGAAGCTATTATGAATGGAAAGGGGCACAGAAGAGAATCAGGAAGAATATTTGAGAAAATGCCTCTCTGACAGAATTTGAAATATTTGACGTTTAGTTTCTCAGAGAAGAAATCAAGACATGATTTAAAGAGTGATTTTCAAGAGACTTTACATAAAGAAAATTTCTGGTACTCTAAAGCACTTTGTTTTAGCGTATGACCCCTCTACAAAAGACGAAAAGCCAAACACCTAACCCAAAACAAGAAACAATTGTTGAAAGCTGTAGCGAGGCAAATGAAAACGGGACATAAGGCTATTGGCATTACCACGGAAGGCAGTCAGCCACAGGGACACCCTAGCAAATGAACGGAGGGATCCTCCATTGGCTGAACTTTTGAATCCTCATGCACATTTCTCAGAGGATAACTTTGGCCAACCCAAGTTACATGCCTTAGAAAGGAGTACCTGGGTAATATTAGCCAGATAACTGAAAGGCCTCTTCTAGAGAGATTTATCTTACCTGATTTTAGATGTAGAGTGAGAAATCTAAGTACTAGCCAGCTACCCTCGGCTCATTTTGTAGTAAGGATAGAGAACAAGGTGATTCAGCTTACCTACCTCATCCCTACATGGGATGAATCACCTTCAGCTGGTGCCTGTTTCTCTGTGATGACTATGGAAGGCACTTACAAAGAGTCTTTAGCTCAGAGACAGACACCAGCTTTTAGCTACTGAAATCAGGGCAGATGAATTTCACCTGAGTTTATTGAGCACATAGCTGAAATCAACTCTACAGAGGAAAATTTAAGTCAACGCTTGCTATATATTTAGACTTTGATCATGGTTAGCAATTGGAGCGTAACTCATCACTGCGTCCCTCAGGGATCAGCAGCAAGTAATGATAAAAATCACTCAGAATGAATGGCGCTGCCCTGGCAGCTCCAAGGGAAGTAAAGTACGATTAACCGCAGTACGAAAGTGAATTGTATCACCATTCTTGTTCAGTAACTTTACATGATGTGCTACTGCCTTTTCAATGGGGACAAAAAACCAGGTTTCCTGCTCTGAAGACTTTACAACTCAGTTTGGACCCTGATGCAATCAAAGGCCAGTAAAGGAATAAAGAGAGGAGCCCTATGCGACAAGGCTGTGCTGGGAAAGCATATGCTTGTCTTGCTGCCTCTGCCTCCTCTCCTGATGCTGCTAGGACTGAGCGAGAACTAGGTTTAGGGACGACAGAAGGCCAAATGATGTTTTCTTGCGCTGTCCTTTTGACTCTTAGAGTCACCACAGCACAGAGCAGGAGCGTTTAACTCCACACCCCTGTGCAAAATGCAATGAAACACAAAGTCATGAGAAGCTATCTTGTTTCTGGGTGTCGTAAAGATGCAAAACGTTGGTCAAGTACTAAATTTGTCAGTGTGTTTTGCAGCTTTTACATACATTTTAATATGATGTGTATCTGTGTGTGAAAAGGCACCTGAAAGTCAACCAGGTGATGATGGGGTTGATGCTGTCACTTTGCATAAAATTATTTGGAAATCAGAATTTTCTGGGAGTAAAAGCAAGCGAGCACAGTGCCCTCTGGGCCTTTACTGACATGAAAATCCTTGCACAAAGCATTAGGAAGTTAAACTGTTTCACAGAAAACATATTTTCTGTATTAGATTCTATGATTTTTAATAGAGGGACGAGGTTCTACAAAGTACCGCACTTTTCACTGGTTTGAAAGAAAAATATAAGCCTCTCTGGCTTGTGTGCCATTCTTCTCATGGCCACGGAGTGCTTTACAGACTTTGTGATACCATCTATGTTCTCCCACCGGTGCAACTTCATGGTCTCAGGTGGCATTACTCCCTCCAGGAAAGGCTGAATCAAGTCCAAATGCATCTGTGCCCTGTTAAAGGAAACTATGCTGTTTCGTTGCAACTTAAAATGTATTTTCTTATGTAAGCTTTTCTGTTTTATAATCCAGAAATCATTAAAATGCAGATTTTCTCCATGCTCACCTAATTAGAACAAAGACAGTTTTCTCTAGGATACAATGAATTATAAACACACATAATTGGTGATGCATCATGCAGGACAGACTGAGGGAACTGATTGCTTGAAATCTCTACTTTCTATACCATCACTCTGTCTGTATGCCAACTCAAAGAACCTCCTTTGAACATAAAGATGAGTACGCTTGAATGCTTGTCAAGTATGCCTTTCTACCCTAGAAATTTGGGGAAAAAAGTCCACCCTGCACGTCACATCCCAGGGAGCCGAGCAGTCCCAATGCCACTTCAAAGGAGCCTAAGTGCACGGATGATTTTAATTTAGGTACAGGAGCAGCCCCCAAAGCTCCAATGTGTCTTCATATATTTGCAGTTAAGAGTTTGTTGATAAGGTTGTTCAGAGACCCAGGAAAAATATTAAAGTTTCACAGTGGTTTCTGAGTCTAAAGCCTTTGGGAATGTATTTAGTTTAAATACACATGTAGGGGCATATCTTTAGATCCCACGGGACTGTCATTGGGCAGCCTACTTCATTCCAGAATCTCATAGTTACTTCACCAAGTGACAGCAGAAAACACTCTGAATGACTGGAGGTGATCAATAGCTTCTTTAAAGTCAAATTTGGCAAAGTAAAAATTCATCAAGTGATTACTGTTTAACTCAAATGATACCTACTACGAAAAGTTCAGTGTCATGTAACATTCACGGAGTTACCTGTTCTGCAGTGCTCATGTGAACCACGGGGCCTTTGCCATCTTTGGTCTGACATAACTTTGTATCACTCCGGGGTAATCCCATTAAAATAAATTGTGTTTAACTGATAAATAGCTAAATTAAATCAGACCAAGAGCTTTATGGACACTTGGACGGCTGCCAACAATATTCCCAGTACTGGTAACGTTTTCAAGAATGTGTCTGCCTGCCAAGACATGCCCTTGTTGCTGCTCCTCCCTCTACCTGGCAATATTATGGACTTTGGATTCTGCTAGCTCCATGCAATCTGTTATCTGAAATTTTGGGGCTATTACTGTTATGGATCAGAGGTACTCATGCAAGTATATATTATTCCCACTTGCTATTTAGAGTGGACATGGTTAAACATGACATGCGAAGTAAACATCATGGGGTTTATTTCTTTTGAAGAGTGCAGATGTTCTGTGTATATTTATAAGAATCTGTCAGTTCTATGTCTTTGTTTTATAAAGTGGCTACATAAGAGGCTTGGCGTTGTTGAGAATTCCTTCTATTTATGCCTTTTATGGTAGTTTTTAGGGATTCTGTCTAATTTTTTTTTGCTGGAGTCATGCTCGGGACTAAATTTTAAATGGTCTCAGACAGATACAGAATACAACTAAGCTAACAGATTTTACATTATTCCTTAAATAAGAGCTGTAACTTTATTGCAATGTTCCTTGTTTTAGCTGCCAAGTATGTAGTTCTAGAGACATATTTCAATGAAAATATTATATAAATATGATATTTTCAATAGGTAATATGCTATCCAAGGCTGTTTATCCTATGCCAGACTGCTCTAGCAATAAAGCACCTCTTCAGAAAATTGTTTAATAAAAGATCAACACAAATCTCTCTGATTTTAAACAGAAGAGAACAACTGGTGATTGCAATAGCACTACTGGAAAATGCTGATTTACTATTACAGTAGCCTTTTCTGTATGGACTACAAAGGCAGCCCTACTTTCTGCACCCAAACATAAAACCAGGCACTTTTGAAAGGAACAACAGGATTGGAATCAAACTCTGTAGAAAGTAATCTCTGAAATGTATAGAATTAGCTGAGAAGTACTACCTTTATTCCCTCTGTATAAATAATGTTAATGATTTCCTGGGTTAGTACACTAAACTCCCAGTGCAGTTAATTAGTCTTACATTTCTTTATTTTTATTGTGTTTTCCATATTTAGGAAAGAATTTCCTAATCCTTAAGGAAAGAAATGTTTCCTTATGTATAAATAAAGTGTAAGAAATTTTCTTCCTTCCCATCTTAACCTTTTCAACATGGACCAAAGCAGTCTGCATTGAACAGGATACCATACATCTATCTTGTAGACATGTTGGAGGGTAAAGGGACCATTATAGTAAATGAGTTTTTGAATAGTTACGGCTAGTAAACGGCAAGAGAACATCAGAATTAATATGAATACCATTTAAAAAAAACAGAAAACATCCATGGGGCAGGTGTCTCTGTTATTAACTGGTTGGCTGCACAAACCAATTTCCCAAATACCAACATGTAGAAAAGCAAAGCATTAAACTGTACATTTTATAAAATATTACATCAAGCTGCATGATGAATGACACATCCCACAGTTTTTCATGTTTTGGGGGACCTAGCTGATTTATATCATGATGGTCTCTGTCTGCATAAATGACTGAGCCCTTGAATTCCGGTGGAGCTGAGAAACGCTTTCTGATCCATTTCGAGAAATCGAAGAGCTGTGGAGTCCGTAATCTCTGCCGGCTGTCTGCTTCCAGCACAAACTCCGCCATTTTCTTTTCAGCTCCCCTTGCACCTGTGTTAAAAAGAAAATGCACAAGATGAGCTGAAAATGTTCTTTTACATGAGGAACTTTTTCATGTTTATTGGCTGTCAAATGGGAATGTCTAGGAATAGAATTAGGGAATGGTTTGGGTTGGTAGGGACTTTTAAAGATCATCTAGTCCAACCCCCCTGCCACGGGCATGGTCATCTTTTACTACATCGGGTTGCTCAAAGCAACCAACCTGATCTTGAACACTTCCAGTGATGGAGCATCCACAACTTCACTGGGCATCCTGTTCCAGTGTCTCCACCACCCTCATAGAAAAAATGTCTTCCTTACATGCAATCTAAATCTACCTCTTTCAGTTTAAAACCATTACCCCTTGTCCTGTCACTACAGGACCTGCTAAAAAAACTTTCTCCATCTTCCTTATAATCCCCCCTTTTTATACTGAAAGGCTGCAATAAGGTCTCCCCAAAGCCTTCTCTTCTCCAGGCTGAACAATCCCAACTCTCTCAGCCTCCCTTCATAGCAGAGGTGTTCCAGTCTTCTGATAATTTTTGTGGCCCTCCTTTGGACTCACTCTAACGGGTCCATGTTGTTCTTGTACTGAGGACAACCACCTCTCTCGACCTGCTGGCCACGCTTCTTTTAATGCAGGACACGATTGGCTTTCTCAGCTGCAAGCACACATTTCCGGCTCATGTCCAATTTTTCATCCCCCAGTATCCCCAAGTTCTTCTCTGCCGGACTGCTCTCAATCCCTTCATCCCCCAGTCTGTACTGATATTGGGGACTGCCCCGACCCAGGTGCAGGACCTTGCACTTGGCCTTGTTGAACATCATGAAGTTCACACAGGCCCACTCCACAAGCCTGTCAAGGTCTCTCTGGATGGCTTCCCTTCCCTCTAGGGTATCAAATCAGTTTTACAAAGATTACAAAATTGAGGCAAAGACTGTCTACACTGTCTGTGAGGAGATGTCCCAAGGCCACTTTCAAAATCAGTTTTGTATCACTTGTGCTGCAACACTAGCTTTTGGTATCTAGCTATTAATCACATGTAGTTAAAGCATAGAATCAAATGATTAGCCCAAAATCGGGCATCGCATGAGTATCAAAGATCAGAATAGCACTCAGGAGACCTGAATGTCAATTCCCTGTGCAAGTGGGTGTCTCCTTCAGACAGATTCTTCCTGTCAGACACTGCATGCTGTTTAATGTATATTCTACATTAAAAAGTGGCTTGCATTGAAAGGAATTCCTTGCACCTTTCTCAGTTGAGATCAGGAAAGCTGCTACATGCTGAGTGCTTCTGAAAATCTGGGGGTTAGATTCTGTCAGAAGATCACCCCTAAATACTTACTAAATGGTGTTTCAAGTTTTGGATAAATTTCTAGACTTATTGCACCTCACTTGCACAATCCACATTGCTTGTAACAGAGCTATAACTAGATCATGTTAAATAACAGAAGACACACTTACTAACACCTTGGTTTGCAAGGAATTAGATTTCAAACAGCTCTTAACTCTTCACCCAAATACACTAATTTCTCCTGTTGCGTAGAAACTGCCACATATATATTCTATAAATAGGAACGCAAGCATCTTCTAAACCAGCTTCATGTATCAGAGTGGAATTATAGGGGCACTTATACATTTACTGAAAACAATATTGTTCTGTGTTGTGTTTCTTGCGTGTTCCACTGTTCAAAAAACAATACAGGACTGCAACAATCAACCCCTGGAAAGAGACAATATTCCTTAGTTAGTAGGCAGCACCAACCTAGGTCAATAAAACTTCTTTTGAACAAAACCTTTAAAATTTACCTGAAAAGATCCCAAACACAACTCAAAGATTATTTTATAATTATTGGAACTGCGGTCAGGAAACAGAGCAAACACTGTGTAGTGAACTCCAAATAACGGAATAAGCAACAACGTGGATTTTGCAAGTCTCCTGGGTAAATAAAAGAGAAAAAGCTGGAGTTTAATGATAAGCTTTAGTTTTACTAAGATAAGAAACTGATGCAATGTCGTTTACATAAACCTCATATGACTTCAGATTTATAAACAGTCTTAGAGTCATTTATTGCAAATTGTTTTCCTTTCAGGCTTGCTGTGAGATTAGCCATATAGTAACCTCATAAATTAACGTCTGCAATTCCATGTTATACTTGATCTTGTTGACCCTGCACTCTTCCAAAAGCTGGCAAAAGACTGCGAGGCCTCTGTCGTGGTTTAACTGCAGCCGGCAACTAAGCACCACGCAGCCACTCGCTCACTCTCCCCTTGGTGGGTTGGGGGAGAGAATCGGAAGGGTAAAAGGGAGAAAACTCGTGGGTTGAGATAAGAACAGTTTAATAATTGAAGTAAAATAAAAATAGAAGAGTTAAATAGGTAAAGCAAAAGCTGCGCACGCAAACAAAGCAAAACAAGGAATTAATTCGCTACTTCCCATGGGCAGGCAGGTGTTCAGCCATCCCCAGGAAAGCAGAATCACGCGTCGCCATACGGTATGGCATAGCCCTTTGGCCAGTCGGATTAGCTGCCCTGGCTGTGCCCCCTCCCAGCTTCTTGTGCACCGGGCAGAGCAGGGGAAGCTGGAAAGCCCTTGACTGGTGTAAGCACTACTCAGCAACACTAAAACAGCAGTGTGTTATCAACATTATTCTCATGCTAAATCCAAAACACAGCACTATACCAGCTACTAAGAAGAACATTATTCCAGCCAAAACCAGGACAGCCTCTCTAAAGCGAAAGACTCTTTTTCAGCTGCCCTCTGGAGAGCAGTGGGGTGTAGGACCTGCCCTCTGCTGGGTCTTTTCGACACACATTCAGTTCCCAGCCTGGTTTCGTGGCACAGTTTTTGGGGGTGGGGTTTTACTGCATTATTCCACAGGACCACATTTGACAAAGTGTCACGAGCTGCCATCAGATCTCCCAAGATATTTTTTACCTGGCATAAAGGGTTCAGAGTGCCTTCCTGCAAAGTCATACAGACAGATCCCCTCGTATGGAAGGTAAAGTCTCTCTCTTGAAATTAATTTATGTTCATTTCTTTTAAATGTGCAACTGTATGGTTAGCCTGTACATTGCACATACACAGTATGCAAACAGTATCTAGGAAATGTAATCCAGAATAATCTCAACTGTCAGATTTTCATGAGCAATTTCAGATTTACCCCCAAATACTAAAATCTCATAACTATACTGGTGATATTAAGCATATAACATTAACTAATTTTTATTGTTGTCAATTACATAATACATTTTAGCACAAGACACTACTGAAGTTAAGGAAGGAGAACTTTAAATTATTAAGCAGAGCAGCTCTGACAAACTGCCTGGGAAACCACTGAAATGATGAATTGCTAGTTATCCCTTATCTGTCACTTATTTCACTCTAATAACATCAGTTTTATATATTATACAGGGCCAGTCATGCATGATTATGGATGTCTGGTATCAGATAAAATTCAAGAAGTTACAATGTTGAGTCCCATAATTCATCACTGTCTTGATGAACATAACTTGATTCAACAATGAAAGCATGCTGTTGTGAATTCACCTATTTTAACAGAAAAGTCAAGGTATTTCAAGCAGTTTTATTTTTTTCTGTGTCAGTCTTCATGGCCTTCCTCTGTTCATGTCCCAGAGGCTGCATCTGTTTATGTGGAGATAATCAGTTCTGACAGCAAAGTTTCTCAAAAATAGTAAAACCCTCACATCTAACGGTGATAGCAGTAAGTGGGACAAATAGGATTTCCTTAGCAGAAGAAATTCATTTACAACTGGAGGAGATGACGATGGCAGCAAATTTCCTGGTTTCCCAAGTGAAATGGAAAAATGATTTTATTCAAACTTAACCTTACCCACTGCAAAAGTAAAATGACCAACAAAAAGGATGGAGCCAGGTACAAGCAAGTGGGACAGAGGAAGGGAAGAAAAATGGTGACTTGCATCAGTAGTATTAATTTTAGACTCATATTTCACTTTCACTCCATTCTTTTTTTAATAATTTTTGTCTAGCTGCTGTTGCTTTCTCTATACTGCACTTACACTTTAATGAAGGAAAGGGACAGATAAAATAGCCTTATTCTTCTCTGAATTTTAGAAAATGCATTTGCATTTTGAAAAACAACCCTTCCAGACCTTTAATTTGCTCTGTAGATGCAGTATTTCTTAAGGAGGCTAATCTACCATTCCCATGGGTATCGGCTAAAGACCATCTAATCCAAATTTAATCAGGCAATCAAATGCTAAAAGCAAAGAATTCACAGGGCTGAATAATGAAGGACAAGCTTGCTGTTAATGAACATTTTATACTATGAAGTGCTACAGTAATCTGTGGAAAATGATGGGACTGATAGGAAGGGAATGCCTCATTTTCATAAAATACATAAATAGCACACAGACACAAAGAAAAGTTCCTATCACAAGAAGTGAACCTGAGGGGATTTCCTGCCCATAGGTCAGTCACTGTGCTAAATAATAATGTGGAAACTGCATAGTGTCATCTAGGTTGATTTGGTTCTCCCACACGTTTAGTTAATTCAAGCAGCAAACACAAAAAAGGACTCTTGTAGCTCTGTGAAGCAAAGCCTTAGGTCAATCTAGTCGTGTCACCTTTTCTATGGCACATCAGAATTCTTCACTTTTTGCATCACATTGTTTACAAAACACATAAGGTCCTAGTTCTCTTAGCTTTAAAGATATGCTGTACTTTAGCATACCATGTGTGGAGGTGACACCATTTAGGGAGGTGATAGCGCCCCTGTACTCAGCACTGGAGAGGCCGCACCTCGAGTACTGTGTTCAGTTTTGGGCCCCTCACTACAAGAAGGACATCGAGGTGCTGGAGCGTGTCCAGAGAAGGGCAACGAAGCTGGTGAAGGGTCTGGAGCACAAGTCTTATGAGGAGCGGGTGAGGGAGCTGGGGTTATTTAGTCTGGAAAAGAGGAGGCTGAGGGGAGACCTTATTGCTCTCTACAACTACCTGAAAGGAGGTTGTAGCGAGGTGGGGGCCGGTCTCTTCTCCCTAGTAACAAGCAATAGGATGAGAGGAAACAGCCTCAAGTTGTGCCAGGGGAAGTTTAGGTTGGATATTAGGAAAAACTTCTTCACCAAAAGGATGGTCAAGCATTGGAACAGGCTGCCCAGGGAAGTGGTTGAGTCTCCATCTCTAGAGGTATTTAAAGAACAGGTAGATGTGGTGCTCGAGGACATGGTTTAGTGGTGGACTTGGCAGTGCTAGGTTAACAGTTGGACTCGATGATATTAAGGGTCTTTTCCAACCTTAACGATTCTATGATTCTATGATTCTATGTTTTATCTGCTTTTAGAATAGGAATTCAGCATTTTTTAAATGAAGAAAAGGTGTTATCCAGGAGCACATTTTCAAAGGCCACTTGCATGGTTTTGAACTTTCGGTGTTTATGTTAGGTTTTGTCATTGAAATATCATATTAACATCCTGAAGTGTCAAACTCAGTGTCCATACCTGAGCTTTAAAATAAGACCTACTACAACAGACTCTTGATTCTGTATTACAGTAGCCAGCAGCTATTATAATACAATAACTGATATGGCAATATAATAAAGAACAAATCCAATTTTAGCAATGTATTTAAATTACCCCCCAACATTCCTTGACTCTAAAACTGTGGAAACAATGGATGTTAGGATTTGATGCTCAAACCAAAACACAAAAGAAGAAAGCCTAAACATAAATGAAGTTGATCTAAATCAGAAACACTCGTTTTCCTCTAAAAAAATTACAATGCTATTTTAAATCAACATAAACCATTATATTTCATTTTTTACTTTTTGGGAACAACGTAACTTCTTTCCAGCTCTTAAAATATGTGTAAATATTACAACAAAAAGTATTTTAGAAATAAAAAATGAAAAAATATGTTTTTAAGAAGGTTGAAGCAAAGTGTTTTGATCTTGAAACTTTTGTTATGTTGAAATGAAATGAACGAAATATTTTTTGTATCAGCTTATTCATTCATGGATTAAACTCAAATTCAAGAATCGCTTGTTGGTCTTTATGAAATTGCGCATTTTTTATTGAATTTAGTGTTTGACAAAAAAAATTATGTTCGTCTCTATTTCAGCATAGTGATAAGATCTTTATTAAACCACATCTAAAAGTACTTCTGAATTAAATGTAATTATAGTATCACAGCAATTGTTGGTAGCAGGTTTCAGCAGAGGAAATCTTACAGAGATTTTGGTTCTGTACATAATATCTAAAAATATGACTCACTTGTACTGTGACTGGTCATTTCCTCCAACATCTGGAGATCTTAACTTCTGCAGTAAGATTCTTATAATACTAATGAAAAGTATAAAATTCACCTGCAAAGAAAACAAATATAATGGTGATTTCTGACTTCTGCACTGAATACGCAGCACAAAGAAATGCTTATCAAGTCAGACAAATCAACTCAGCAGTGGGCGTCCTGTACCTCCTGCCAGAACACATCAAGCTCTACACTTGTCAACCTGATTGTCTGTTTTCTGCCTCACTAGGTTTGTTATGTCCGGCACACCTCTGCATGGCCACCAGTTCTAGTCTGGCTGGCAAAAGCCTTTGAAAGCCCCAGATGTCAGAAATGCCCTCCTTCCTCAGCTGAAGGCAGGTTTCCTAGCAGGACGGGACATGGGATGTGATTTGGTGCAATGAAGCATTGTCCTAAATTGTCATGTGGATTCACAACTGGAAGCCCAAAGGAAAATGTGAGTCCCATACACAGTGCTGGCCCTCTCTTGCCTCTTGCCTTGATTTTTAATATTTTCAGCCTGAATTAGGGGAAGAGAAGATTGCTGCACAGGTGATCTGTGCACTCCAATCAAGCATAGAAAGGGCCTGTCACACATACCAGTCTGTCTTGGGTATTGATGCAGATATTATCACTGAAAGAACTGAATCCTTGCAGTCTAATTCTTGTGACAGCCCTCTGAGACAGAACAGCAGTATTATTTTATTTCATAGAAAGGCACTTCCATAAAAAAAAATTATGATCAGATCCTGATCAATCTAGAAAACTGAAGTATAAAACTCAGTAGATCCTAAGTCTCACTCCCATTATTTCTTCATCCTTGGCTTTTGGCATCTTGTGTTTGTTTGGTGTGCTCTAGAAAACCACACACTCAATATAGCATGGCCGTACTAAAGTGAGGGAACACTTGGAATCCACACCCTCACAGCAGCAATGTCAGCTAAAAACTACAGCTACAGCTACATAAACAGCTGCATCAAATGCACACATTTTAGAAGAAACCAACCTAGAGAAAAATTTCTATCACTGTGAAAATGAGCATTTTATTGTTTTTAACTAAGCCCATCCCAAAGCCCCAAATCAGGAGGCTGGGTACCCCACCAGACAGTGCCTGCCTCACTGCTATAAACCTCCAGTCTCTGCCTTGATGCATTGCTGGAACTCTTCTTTTTCCAGTTTTAACAATTTGGCTGTGAGCTTTTCAAGGTCAGTGAACTTCCGTGTCTTCTCTGACATACCCAGTACAACTTGTGATGTTAATAAATAAACTATGACCATAGCAACTGCATGCCCCTCTGTATTTAATATTTTGTTTCAAATGACAGGTGAAGGAAAGTGACAGAAACTGACCAGGATTAATTAAAAAATTAGGAAAATTAAATCTAATATTTTGGGAAAAAAAAGAACAAAAAAGAAATGTTAGAAAATATAGACCTTTACTGAACTTAACATACATATTTCAGGCAGATGCTGACTTAGAAGTTTTCCTTGCAATTCTCCTATAAAAGTAACAGGCAGAAGCCTGTTATTGCTGATTGTATCTACAGACTTACCATAGCAGAGTGTACAGACCAAGGGATATACATTTAGTTTGCCGTATGCACTGGAGCCAGTATTAGTGGACAAGGAGGGAGCTTCCATTTCATTGGATATTTGTTAGCCACAAAATAGGAGAAGGAAAAAATCTTTATTCTGTATTTGCAAAGGGATTGGCGGAATAACTTGTTCTTCACAGGCATTCCTAATTTCTACTGTAACAGAATAAACTGTCATCCATTTGGTTTCTGAAGCATCAAATCATCTGCAAAACTGCACTCAGGTGACTCACATTCTTGACGGACATTCATATATTACTTTTAAGTCTGTTTTCAAACACATACCTTTCTGTCTGTAAGCACAATCTTGGATTAATGAAAAACATATGTTTTTGTTTGGAGTTTGTAACAGTACTTGGCACTACTGAGCTTGTAAATCCAGCCAGCTGAAAATGGGTATTAAGATCTAAAGGTGGCAACTGCCACTGACTTACTACAGTGGAGCAAATTAATTTCTCTAAGATTACTATTGAATTGATCATTTGTTAAAATCCTTTAAAGTATATATCTGATTTAGAATAGTATGTTTCAATAAAATATGACACAAGTAGTCCCTGGAATTTTACTTTTAGTATTGTAGCTTTTCAGTCCTATAAAATCATTTAAGCATAATGTCTTTAAATAAAATAGAATATGTATACTGTTCAATGAACATCTAAGAACAGGAAAATGAGCAAATAACATGAATGCAGAGAAACTGCAAGAGAGGGATGACAAATGATGCCTCTCTAGTGGAGTAACAGCAAGATGCTGCTGGTACCCTTTTCTGCTGGTTGCCTTCTTCTGACACCAAGTCTTTGAGTCTAAACACATTGCTTGAGCATGTATCACTTAAACTGTCTTCATGTTGCTTCTTTCTTGCTATTTAGTCCCTTACACTACCTGCAATGTGAGATAACAAGATAAACATTTCCCAGGTACTCTGATGTGACAGAAGTATTGTTTCCACCCGAACACCACTCCTTCCCAAATGAGAGCAGTTTATGCAAGTGGAAGTATGGAGAAGGCAGCTGTGGAGGCATTTGCTAAATGGAGAATACGGGTAACACCACATTAACTGTTTGGAATAGTCCCTCAATTAAATAACTCTGAAATGTGTACAGCATGAAGCGTGGAAGCCTGCCAAGTAACTTTTCTCAAGCCAAAATTGTCAGGAGGAGATGCCAGGGGAGGTTTCTGACACACTGAATTAACTGAAGCCATTCCCACTTTGAGAAGTGACTTCAGAACTTGCTCTCACAATACTGTTTACTGTTGGATAATAACCTTATAGAAAGTACCATCTTCTAAGCGGTGAAAATGTTTGCAGTTAGCACAGAAATTGATGGAAGAGAGTGAATATGGCATGAAGAGTGAGCGGACTTCGTGTCACATCTAATGCGGTTAAACCACTGTTCCTTAAAACCTTTGCTTGATTTCCTCTGCCTTTCAAAAGTATATTCATGGCATCATCCTCACAATCAGGCTCTATCCTACTCTTCTTTTCTTCATTCTTCTTCCTCCTCTTAAAGATTTTCAACATCAGACATACTCTGGGCTTTCTTTCATGCCATTACAGAAGACAGTCGATGAGAGTTCTCAGCATAGGTGTTCTACTCTCCTTTATTTTCCTGAAATTCAGATTCTTGCAGGGTTTTCCTGTGTTCACCGCATTGACTGCTTACACAGATGTCCTTCCTGCTAGTGAAGCCATTTGCTATTGCTGGTCATCCTTGCCACCATTCTCTGACAGTCTTCCAGTCTCTCTACATTCTCGAGCAGACTGAAGGCACTGTGTGAGTGAGTGTGATGTAATTACATCATTCTTTTATTGAGAAACATCATGACTCTTTCACAACACCTATCCAAAGAACTTGCAATGATCTGTTTTCATTGTTGAATGGCAGGCAGCACTGACCTCATTATTCAAAGATTTGAATCTTCAACTTCTATTTTTTCTAGAAGGTAACAGGAAATGTTGAGGCTTATCATGGTGTATGTATATTGAAAATTATGTTCTCGTGAATGTAGTGTTTTTCACTCATCAATGACCAGTTTTACACGACATTTCATTAGCTCCTTTTGCTCTATGAATGCACGCTCTACTTTGCACAGCAGTAAGTTTGCATAGCATCCTAGCTGCCACAATGAACGTGCTGGTTGTAGTTTGATGCTCCAACAAGACGTTACTTATCCAGCAGGAAAGGGTGAGTATCACTGCTTTTATAACTCTCTTTCACAGCACAATTTCCCAAACGTAAAATGTAGTTGATCAAACAACTGAAGAATCATCTAATCGCAGAAGTGGCTTCACACAGTACACACTGCAGAATCACTTGGCCACCTTTAGTTGCTTTCATCCCTAAAACATGCTGTGTAAGAGAAGAAGCATATCTGGAAGGAAACAGCAGATCCTAAACATGTGCACCTGGCAAGCCAGAAAAGATCACTTTCAAAATGTTTCCCTATGTCTTACAATCCCTTTGTATCAAATCAGTAATACAACCATTAAAAAAAAAAAGGAGAACGACCATTCCTTTGCCTCAAACAGTGATTCTGGTCCACGTTTTATGATATACTGGACTTTTGCTGACTGACTAGTACTCCATTTTCTTAACTCACAACTCCTTTCCCAGTCTTTGCCAAGATCCAGCTGCAATTCAAGTCTGCCAATGAGCACTTGGATAACTTCCATTTCCAGGTCTAGGACTTCTTTGGAGAAACACTTCTTTCTGGCACATGAAGTCTCAGCTGTCTACCAGATAGCTGTTTAAACTGAACACCCAGAGAATAGACCTTCATCTTCTGTAAACACCAGGTGGTTTGTTTTGCTTTTATCTTTCAGTATATTTTCTTCACTCTGGACCATCTCCAGCTCCTTTGAGGTACACGTATTCATGCTGTAGTTCTGTTGCATGCCCATTTCTTCATATCAGAAAACACCTTTTCTTACCTTATGTCATTTCACACACATGCCTACTCTGTAGAATTCACCCTGATGAAGATGACAGAAGTTCCCTCAAAATTATTTTCAGCAGGCACAGATTGAAAGGCAAGCCCAAGCATAATGAGGACTCTTGAAATCTTGTGTAATGTAATAATGCCCTAATTTTTCTGACTAAAATGTTAAAAATAAAGCAAGTGTATCTGAAACGTATTAATTTGCACTGTGACTGTTTTCAGAAATGGACATATAACCATAGCATATTATGCCCAAAGTTAATTATACAATCACCACAGTGAACAGGAATTTTATTATGCTGCTCCAGTAATTCTAATGAGTTCCACATAGGAAAAACCCCATGAAACATTCTCAAATGGTATTCTTTTGCAAATACTTCATGTTCAATATATATTTCAGCAGGCTACCAATTAAAGAAAGATATACACAGCCATAGTTTTTTATGGCTGCAATAATATCAGATTCTCAATTGCAGGGCTATCTATTTACACGCAAAGTCAAATCTGCAATTAATTGAAAAGTATAATTAGATTTTTGCTTCCCCCAGGCTCATAAACAGGAGAGATGTTAAAGAAAGAACAACATACAAATAAGAGCAACTGCTCATTTAATAGGAGGCAGATAAATTTTGAAGGCAACAAATTTTAATGGCCTTGGCATCTGTTTAACATTTCTCCTACAGCACAATTTCTTTTCATTAAAACAGAATTCTTGCTTATCTGTAACTAGCAGTAAAGAATAATGGCTATATGCACGGCACCATGCTGAACTGATCTATAATTCATGCTTCAAAGTTTACTTACTATAATAGAAATTAAAATTGGTATTCGTATAACCCACCAGGGACCACCATGCTCATTTGTATCCCAGCAACTACAAAAAAAAAAAAGAGGGAAAATTATGTTGACATTAATATCACCTGGCAAGCAAGACCTGTGAGGAGAAGTATTTCTTATATACAAGTCAAAGCACACTAAAATAATGCCTGTTCTAGCCTTGAATTTGGCATTCAATCTTCTTCTGCTTTTATTTTATTTCCCTGGTTTTAATATGCATATTCAAATCAGGTAAAACATCAGGCACACTAGACTGTACCATCAGACATCATGGAGGATGCTGGCCTTCAGGGAAACCAAGCTTAGTTTCACTTTGAGCAAGGACACACTTCCAATAAGCACTTAACACCAGCCTCTGGGTAGCAGGAAGATCTAAAGCAACTGACAGATGCAACTGAAATGACATAATTCATTGTGGGACATTTAGGTTACAGATGGCTGGAACTGGTTTAGAAAAATGTGAGACTGAACCTGAAACTTTGTCTGAAAACCTGAAAATTTAATTTTCGCTGTGGGCTCAGCACTTTTGGTCCAAATACTCTGAGAATAAGTGCTCTGAAAGATCAGTCTTAAGCAAGGGCAATATCCTTCAGAGTTCCTCTAACCGTGATCATAATGACAAAGGAAAAAGGACTTAGCCTTCGGTTTACATGTTAGAGGTCTTGCAAAGAAAACTTAGAAGTTATGTAGGACGGGATTTTTCAGTTTAATTACAGAATCAATTGAAAAATATTAGTCAGGTTATAAAAAAGGAGTGTGAAAACTGTTTGTCCCACGGCTAGGAATGCTCTCCCATTCCTTGGGGCCAGCAGGAGCAGCAAGTCTGATCTTCCTACAAAATTCTTATCTCAGTTCCCTTTCCCATGCCAGGAGCCAGGCCTAGCTCTAGTTAGTCATAGTTTTACCTGACTACGTGCATCTTCTTACATATATTTACATCACATTGCTTCACTTCTGGGAATGTAATTTAGATACACCCAAAGTTATCTACATTTCAATCTTTTGAGTTGCTAGTCAGCAAATTAGAATGCCCAGCATCTTACTGCACTGTATTGCAGCGCTGAACCCAAGGACCCCCACTGGTATTTGAAGTATTATTTTGACTTCCAAAGCAGATAGCTCTGGATGTGGGTCTCATGGGGTAACACTAGTCATAACCTCTCGCTGCCCTCTCCTGCCCTTAGAGTTTTTCAAATAAACAGCAAGCATAAACGGCATGCTGAAGAGCTCCTCAACACCTGTCCCTTTATGGCCACATCTGGAATTTCAGTTCTGTGCTTGTCCCCTTCAGGACAGCAAACTACCTTTGTGCAAACACCACCATATCCAAGGCAAGGATTGTATTGGCACAGTTGGAGGTTTGAAGCATTCTCTCCCCCACACGCTTACCCAGTGTCCTCTAAAATGATCCGTGTCACTGTCCACGTAATAATGAATATGGTAGGAGTTCCTGAAAAATGCCAAAGAGGTTTAGAGGATGATCACAAAAATATAAGTAAGTCCACAAAATAAAAAAAAAAAGTTCAGCCTGCTAGTAACCAATTATTCCCCAAATATACAGCACATAGTAAACAGTTTAGTGAATGGAGAGAGAGGCCCCTCTGATGAGCTGCGATGTAAGCAATGTATTACAATCAAAGACTGCAGGGAAGTGGGTTTATTTCTTACAAAAATGCGGCCATAATGACTAATACACAAAGAACATGCCCTTCTTAGGTTTCTTTCAAGCTGTCAGAGTGACCTACAGGGAGATAGATACAAATTATGCATTCCCAATGCACTTCCAAGGACTACAATATAAAACCGAAGTGTAAATCATTTCATAAGGAACCATTCCCACACACTGGTTTATTCCCATTTCCCAGCAATACCTAAATGTTTATTACCACCTATTACTGGAAGCTTTAAAGTGCTCCGTATAAATATCATTGCACTTTCTGGAAATGAAAGGCATACATGTACTTAAAACCAGATGGACAATATTATTGGGCTTTTCAAAAAGGCAAATAGCATAGCATAGCCTGTGGCTGTGCAGCTGAGCTTCCTTTTTCCTCCCAAATCAGGACAGCCTGTATCCTATGTTTTGCGGTGGCAGCCCTTGCACCATCCTATATCCTGAACAAGCCCTGGGCATTGTGCAGATCGGCACAGGGCAGAGCCATGCCCAGGAGCAAGCTAGCAGTTGTGCTTCAGCAGTTTTGCGCCCAATCTCTCCCGTGGTCCAGCGGCTGCAGCCTATACTGGGGCTGAACTGAGGAATTAGCGAGTCTGAGAAGCCATTCAACAGAAACAGCATGACTGCCTTGGTATGAAATATTGAACCTGACTAACACATACATACAGAAAAAAGAATATTATTGGAAAATGTTTAAGTTCTTACCCCATCCAATCAGCAGGTAGATTGTGAAGTGTCTGTTGGGGGAGAATATTAGCACAAGGAGGATGTGGAGATAAAGTCCTTCAACTAAGAGCCAGTAAAAATTTGCCATAACACCATACTGAAAAAACACCAAAATAGCCTTGCAGCCCACCTGAAATACGAGAATAGGGATCAAAGTTGTTGCAGGAAAGATGCTGTATTATCCTGTTATTAATATATCCCATAGGTCTTAACTCTCCATGTAATACTAGTAACCCAGGTCCAGTAGAAACTTTTTTTCTTCAGTCAAGCAAATTGAGACATTGTAAATGTTATTGTATATATAAAAAGAAAATGAATTATAAAAAAAATATTTAGGTGGCTCTCATAGCAAATTCGCTCAGAAATTTTGAAAACTTCATAGCATAAATATTGTAAAAGGTGGTGGCTATTAAGAAATGCACACATTTGCAATGGTTAGTTAATGAATGGCTATTAGATCAGATGATCATACACTAGGTGGCTAATAAATATCTCAAAATCCCAGCTGGCTTCCTAACATAGTAAAAATTAACAAAGAAACTGCTTTATGAATATTTCAAGGCTAAATGGGAAACAGTGAAAAATATAACTTTACATGATGAATACTCTAAGTATCTTTGGAAGACAAAGTTGACTGGACTTTAAAAATTATGTTTTCCCTTTAGAAAATGCTTCAGTGTTTCTTAATTAACAAAACACATAAGCATGTATCATAAAATGAAGTCCCAATATACTTATAGTCTCTGTGCTGCTCTTCAGAATTAATTTTCAGATGTCTGTGCTGCTGATGTTCCACAGGGCTGGCTGCTGCTACTTTGGTACTTCCCAGCAGGGATCTGGGATGAGAGAATTGAACACAAAAATGTTTCTGCTGACACTGAGCTGAGAAATGTGTTGATATGGTGAATGTAACAGACTAAACAAACCGGACTAAATAAAACTTTCAGTTTCTGCCTGCTTTACTCCCTTCCCCATTTTAAATACCCTTCATACCTCCACTGTTTCTGTTAAAATTCCAAGTACACCAAATGCCTAAGTAAGTAACTTATTCAGTGATTGATTCCTCTGTCTAAACATAGGTGTCTGTTACGAAGTGAGATGCCCTCAGGGACCCCAGGCACCAGCTGCTAAGCCAGAAGGGCACAGACCTCCTAGAGATACTTCTGTCTATCCATCAGCCCCTTGTGGTGTCTCAGATATCTCGGTGCATCCCAAGTAACATACATGCCTGTGTACATGCCTATACAGACAACTAAGTAAGAGCCCAAAGGCTGGAATTCATTTCACCTAATTTTAGCTGCCTACAAGCAAGGTTTCTGGCGAAAGCTAGCCACCTACCAGCCAACTAGCTCCTTATACAGCTCAGGAAGAGAGACAGGCATGGCCAGAGAAAGTCTTAAAGCAGATGAGATAAACCATCCAGTGAGAAAGGCAGAAAGAAGCCCAGAGAGCAGTTTAGTTTAGTCATCTCATTTGGTAAGACTAAACTTACCTCTGGACTTTGTATCCACTGAAGGGATATCCATTGCAGACCAGTAATGGCCAGAAAATTTAACATGGAGAAAATGAAACATTTCAAAATGCAAGTTGAAATTTGCTTTTATGCTTATGACTACTTCTAACCAGATTAGCAGTCAGAGTCTAAAATTTTTGTAATATCTCTTTTAAATTCCAGTACTCCCTTGTATTATATTCTCGATCTACACACCAGAACCCCGCATCAAAATATTTTCCCTTCCTCCTGCAGCTAATCCTGTATCAGCTGTATTTCCAGATGCTGAACAGCCAAGGTATCTGTCAGTAAAGAGTTAGCCAAAATTATGGCTCTGTGTCATTCAGATCCAGGACCCAGTTACACTGCATTTTGAATCGTGTGCTTTTAGACACCTGTGCATGCAGCAGAACTGTGGAACATCACACACGTGTGACAGAAGGGGCAAACTGGTCCGTAAGAAAGGCAGCATCCAGACAACACAAGACAAAACAGCCCTGCCGAGCTGGTGTCAGAGCATCCCACATATAACACAACAGACATTACTCAACAGTCCGCAAAACTGGACATATTCAAACAGGAACGTATGAGGCTTTGCAGCCAAGAATAACTGGAAAATAAAGGAAATTGCAGAAATCAAGTAGTATTTTGAGAGTCCATTGACTAATCTTTCAAGGACCTAAGAACTTTTGATTACCCCTGGCAGTCTGCCTAACTACTTTGCCTACTTTGGGCCTACTAACTCAGAGCCTATTTGTCATCATTAGAAACATCCCAGATTACAAATTCATACATACAGCTTGGCAGTCACTAATAAGAACTTTACGCTTTGGGACAATATGGCTTTATCAATATAAACTGTATAAAGCATGTATGTAAACTTCCTTCCATTTTTTTCTCACAAGCTTATACTGTAGTAAATTAAATTCAGAAGGTATTCAGCAGTATTTGTAGGGTTCTTCTGCAGCACTTTTAACTGAAACAACAGAGGCAGAGAATGGGGAATATCATATAGCGGCCAGCCTTTTAACAGCAAGACTTGAGATTTTTTTTAACCCCTGTGCATGAAAATGCAGTCAACATATTAGCTTGCCAAGAATGCAGATGACAACACTTCTGTCAGAGCCAGAAAGCACGGAGGAGTTAATAAGGATATCTCCTGCAAATATTTAATTCCCTGACTCATTTCTCTCCCTCCATTGATACCTGTCCAATTCCTGGACCCCGGACAAAGCTGTTGGAACATTTCCAGATGAGCTGCCTTTAATCGTTCCCAGCTGATGGTACCCCTGTTTGTCTTAAACTCTCCCAGCTGTTTAATGCAGTGGCCATACTTCTTCTGAGCTATAGCTGGTCATGATTTGTTTTGGCAGATGACATGTTGTCCCTTCATGGACATGCAAACCAACATTAACTTCTCTTACTTGTTGCTGCAACTTTCTTTCTCTGGCTACTTCTAAGAGGCCATTTTGCTAGTCATTATATTCTCTACAGAATGGTCTACACTGACAGCTTGGTATTCCTAAATATTTAAAAGGATCGGGGAGGAAAATTTAGTGACACAACAGTATTATACCAAGTAGCGAATGAGGTTTATTACCCATGAGGTTTGATCCTCTGGACAGTGAGCTGTGTTGGAGCTGGAATAGAGAATATCATCCTTGACTAAAACAGAGATTGCTCTTAGAATGAAAGAGAGGAACAGGTTCAGATGGATGTAGTTCCGAGTACAATGAAGTTTTCTAAGAAGAGATTTAAAAACAGGCATTTTAGATTTCGAGACAAAAAGCTCTTGAATAGACTTCTGTTACTCTCCGGTCGTTTCTTAGCAATATGAACCTTGAGTAAGAGCCTACCCTTTCCTCCCCTGTCATATTGTCAGTGCTGCCTTGCTGTTTTCTTTTATCATCGTCATCATCATTATAGGCTGTCCAAAATATACAAATAAAGTATCTCTTACTCCTTTTCAGTACCACGGACCAAAAGATCCCAGTGGTATTTCTCCCACACTTTAACATAAGATGACAATAAACATCATAGATTATTATCCTTCTGTGTGTGCACTCATCCCAGAGTTTTTCTTGCAAATAAAACTTTGATTATCCTGGATATATTTCAGACATGCTCTCACCTGTTGTTTTCTGATTTAATTTTTTATTTAACTAAAACTCCTGCATTTTGCTATATAATGGCTTTTCATCCTATGATGTGAGTGTATGCAGGAACAATTAAAAATGCATTCAAAACATTAGATCGCCTATCCTTTCTATCCAGTGAGATGTAAAACTTACTCTTTAGTCCAGCAGCCATGTGAAAGCCTGACAAACAAATGACAAATTAAATATTCCAAGTAAGTGAATGAGTGCTGAGGGGAAGCAAGTTATAAGTTGAGGGCTTTTCACTTAAAAGACATTCCCTTCAAGATCTTCCCATTTAACAGATTTTTTTTTTACAGCAAATCCCCAGAAACCAAACTGCTAAGAGGTTTTTTTGGTCAAAATCAGCACCTTGAACTGCACCTGGAAATAAGCCAGAAGCCAGGGCATTTTAGCAAGTATGAGCAATGAAAGAATGAAGATGCAATAGGATGTTATGGTGGTGTGCAGTGGCAGCTTCCAAGTAGTCTTCATGTTTTGATTTTTACCAAAACCCACTAAATAATCCATTCTGAAACTACCAAAGCAAGGATAGTTACAGTGAGCGTAGGGAAATAAATAACAGATGCATTTTGGTAGCCCCCAGTTCGGCAAAGGACATAATACCAGAATTAAAACTAGAATGTCAGTGTTACGTAGAAATATGCTGTTCTACAATTTATTTTCACTCTGAGTTGGAACAAACCAACCTTTTTTAAAATATCTGAAAAATACTACTTATTTTCAATCATTTTGATTTCCACTTTTCTAAAACTTTATGATATATTAAAACTTAGACATTAAAAGTAAGAAATAGAAACGTGCATTCTAAGAAGAGTAAAGCAACTTCTTTTAACAAAATCAAAATTATTAGCTTTGCTGTTTAGAAATTAAGTTTGCAGAAACAAGAATGTGCCTGACAAATTAGCAACCTCCGACAGGAAAATATTGTGCCGGAAAGTTCCCAATTAGCTTTAATCATAATAAGTACATAGAGTATTATGTGGGGAGTGGCACCATAGTAACTTGAAAAATGCTGTCAGCTTAGTCTGGCAAGGTATTTACAGATATTCATGTTTAATGTCTTTGTTTTGAGATTAAAAGATTAGCCAGATATAAAATCCTTTCCTTTTACAATGGTTCTCAATGTGCCCTTTACAGATATTAATAATGAGAACCCATGTAATGTTTCTGTAAGGATTAAAATCAAGTCCAGTTCTTCGGAAGAAAAGCAAAACAGAATATTGCAACTGCATGGAAACTTTCACAAACAACTCTCCTGTCCCCACCCAACAGTTTGGCCTTTCATGTGTTTATAGCTGATATTGCGAACAACTGCAAAGCCCTGAGGCTCTATCTGTTCTGTTCTGTCAGACAGTACGTAACAATATAGAATGGGCCGCAGAAGTCAAGTCGTAATACTTGAAAAAGAATTTCCACTTCCTTGTCATGAACACATTACCTACAATTAAATTAAAGTCCACATTATTCCATGTTTTCTTTTATTAAAAATACTGCACAAATACAAATCCAGCAATGCACAATTTTAATAATCTCTTGTGTTACTAATATCCAGACCTCAAATCCTAATCCTGCTGGATGAAGTCAGGATTTTGACAATCCTACAGCATTAGTAACTTCTGATTTTTAACGCACTGCTTAACTACCAAATCTCCTTTAGAAAGTTTCACTTAGAAGAGTTGTTCTTTGCTCTCCTTTTTAAACACAGCAAGGTGAACGTTTGCTGGTTACATTCAAAGGTGAATGTGTTTCAGGGGTGAGTGACTGATCTTTCTAAACAGTATATTGACATTCTCTATAAAGATCCCTGGGACCTTTCAGGGCAAAGTATGTTTCTTGGATAGGAGGTGTTACCAGCTGAGTTGCGAGAAGTTAAAACTTACAGAAACATTCTTATTTTCCAAACTCTGTCCTTAAAAATGACCATGATGTATGGGATGACCTACAACATGTGTGAGAGACACACAGACATACACACGTAGCCATTTGCATTCACTTCCATTATTGATAATTTACAACTGCTTCAGCTGCAGCCTTCCATAACAACTGGATGCTTGCTACGTGCTTGGGAAACTATTCTGAACAGGGTATTTTTACAACTTATTTGGGTTCCTAATTTAACTCAGTATGTCAGGAGGCCCCTACACTCCCTGTAGATAACAGAGAAACAGGCTTCTTTAGAGGGAGACTTGGAAGACCCTATGTTCCCCCCTGAAAAAAAGCCTCGATCTTTCCACTGGCTCAGTAGAGAGACTGGGGAGTTCTCAACTTGGATATTTAAACTGAAGTTGAAGGTTTTGAGTACACCTCTGAAATTCTTAATCTGTTAGTTATAACTGACTTCTGGTGATGGACAACATTCAGATGTCTATAACACACTGTCTTAAATGGGTTATTAGGTTTTAAGAGTTTTGAAAATGCATGATCTGCCTGTAGCATCTTCTGGTAGAAAGAAGATAACCATGGGTGACTCAATTTTTTTCAAAGATGTTCCAAAATATAATTATGGGTTATGTATCTGCTCTGAATAGTCTCTGAATAATTAAATATTGAGAAAATTTGATGGCAGACTGAAAGGCTTGCAGAACTCACCATAGGAATAGTTCATCAGAAGAATGAGGCTCTGACAAACAACATGCTATCCTCTACATATTACGTGTACTTCTTTTCTACCAAATCTGAGACATGCATTTTCTTGTTTTTCTTGGTGCAGAGTGGAACGGAAAAGTTGTGTGAAGTTTATAATGGAGAATATAAAGGCTATTCTATTAGGTAGAAGTGATACATAAAGGCACGAAGGCGGAGAGACTGAGAAAAGCTATGATACTGATAATATCATTTTGCAAATTCTTTTACCAATTGGAGAATGCTTTCAGTCTCAGAAAACTCCCAGAAATTAGGCAAAACCAACAGACAGTACTGCCTTTCCTAACACTGCCTAACAAAAACATTGCACACCCAGCACTATCCTTCAGCACAATTATCCATACCTTTACAACCCCACTTGGACAAATTCATGATTACCTTTGATTATAGTACCCCTGGAGACCACTCAGAAGCTTCTGCAAAATATGGCTGCCCACTGGTCCAGTGTTGAGACCAGCATCCTACTAATTTTCAAGAGCAATTCAAGGTGTTGATTTTAATAATCAAATAGAAAATGCTTTATATAATCCATTCCTAAATGACTATTCTTTCTTACATGGGCTGTAATGTCTGTAAATTTGTAAAGTGCTTTGAAATTTTTTAATATGACTGGTGCTAGCAAAAACCAAGTTAGCATTACATTATTGTCATCTGTTTAATTGAGAAAAGTGTAAAACCGATGCATTTTCTAAATATCTGAGCAACCAGACAACAGTTAAATTATCTTATTGTTGTTCATATTTACTCATGAAAAATACATACCTGAAAAGGCAAAGAATTATACTTCCTGTTGTAAGAGCAATCAGAGATACGCTGTGTCCAAGGGTATAAATTGCCTTCACCCTTACATAGAAGTTGACCTGCACAGAAAAAAATATATGCAGAAACCACTTACTGATATGTAAAATTGACTGTGAAATGATATAGTTTTCCATTAAATAGCTCTGAAGGCTAAATAAATAGCATTATTTTCACTCTTTGCTCTGTGATACGTGATGAGAATGTTATACTTTTATTCCAACACATTTTTGCAATGCAACATCTCAAGCCAATTGACCTCAGTAGAAAATTCAGCCTCAGGAACTCAAAAGTTGGACACACAAGCTGGTACAATTTCAGCTGATTATTCAATGTCAATGAGGTCAAAGAAAATATGAGATTTATCAACTTCCATAAACATAATCAAACTGGGAAGAATGAGCCACAGTTTGAAAGAATGGATTATCTCTGAAAGAGAGAATGTCTCTCAGCCCTTCTGCTCCAGTGTACTTCGGAATGCATTTATACATGAGTTTAATTTTAAAGACATGTTTAAGTCTCATTACTTTCCTAATCTAAATGTTCAAATACTTTATTAAATTGTGACCCAAACAACCCTTTCTCTCTTTAGTAAAGTTATATGCTAAAACTTGGAAAGGAAATTTTTCAACAGAGGAAAAGCAGACTGAAGTGCCCAGTCTGCTGATTAACTGCAGTTATCTGTAAATTTAGCAGCTACATATTACATTAAATCCTATTCTGAATGCCATCAAGCAAAATAATGCTAACTATTCTCAGAACTAAGCTGCTTCTTTATTTATGCCTACAACAAAGTCATTATACTGCATTATTTCCCACTGAAGCTAGATAAAATATTAAAATCGTAAAGTTTTTTACTGTTATGAAATTAAGTTTTTAATAGCAGTGTAGAATGTGCTATGTATAACAGAGAGAATTTCTATATTTAGTGCACATGGTTATATCACTCACCTTCTTGAACAATGTTTGTAAAAAGTAGCAAGGAAGCAATACTTTTAAATAAACTAAGATAGCAAAAGGAAAAGCAAATCACTTAATATATTTATTTTTATTTAAAGGCCAAGTACAGAGGTAACTTTAGCCATCCCAATTCATGATGAAATTAGCTGGACGTTCACTTAGCAAATATTGTACAGATATGGAAAAGACTAAATGAAATATTAAATGAAATGAAGAATCTTGAAACTAGACTATCGTAGATATGGTTAAAGGGGAAAAATAAGGGAAACATAACTGCCACAGATCTTGTGTACTCATAGCAACTGTCACACTTGTTAGGAGCTACAAGTGGTATACGAGGTGTCACAGGAAACAAAAATCTCTTTTTTAATTAGAGAAGTAAGCTGTGATAGCCTTTTTGACAACAGTCCTGACTGTTTAATGTTTTGTTTGCTTTACATAATATTCATTTACTGCAGAGATAAAGAAGGAAAATATGGACTTAATGAGGTTTCCAGTGCCATTAGAATGACCATAAGAAAGTTCTTCAGTTAAAATCCTGAATAAATATTGTTTGTTTGTTTGTTTGTTTGTTTTAAATTGGTGTCCCTGCGTGGTTAAAATGATAAAACCTAAGGTATTACTTTATTGCTTTCTACAGAGTTTGCTATATAGTTGCAGAGCCCCACTGCATTCCTAGGAACGCTCTGTGGGCATAAATTGTAGGCTCTACTTCAACTAGCGTTAGGTGTCTACGCTGCAAATGTAAATATCTAAGGCAATGTAGGGTCTCTTCATAGGGCCTCCTAGGAAGCACTTCTTATATCTATGGAAGCAGTCAACATGGACTTCATTGGATATATTTCTGCAGACAATGAAGGGGCCCCACAGTGACTAATTCAAGTGTAGTTACCCAGAGTGTACTTGCACTTAGACGGGTACCCCAAAAAGATCCTGGTTTTCCATATGAATCCAGTGTTTGCTAAATAGAAGTAGTCCAATGTTTCTTGAACAATGTTTCTAAAATTGGTTTCAAATACAATTCTAAACATATTTTTTTCAAAATTAACATAATTTCACATAAAATCAGTTCTGAAGAACAGCCATTCAATTCCCTGCCAGAATGGCAGAATTATACTCCTCAGTTAGGCTCATTTTTGGACAGCTCTGAAAACTATGCCTACAGACAAGCACTGTAGAGCACCCCTACGCTTCTTTAATTTGGCTTCTGTCATAGCAAAAGGAACATCAGCCAGTCTCCAGGCAATTTTCTGGGAATAGAGTGATAAACAGTTTCTCAGCAGCAATTACAACAGCCCACGGCACCAAGAACACTGCAAATACTTTGGGCACCCTCCTTCATTCATTCAATCTGACCTGCTCTGCAAAATCATGGAAAAAGGATGCTCCAATAAATGACTTAATAACTTAATTTGGCAGCCTCATGTCCCCATCATCAGTATTCTGGAAGAAAACTAGTTTTATTTCCTGACCTTGTGCACATCAGGAGCTGCAAATACAATGTATAGCTCAGAAATGATGCACAGCGGTTCCACAATATGTTCTATTTGTTATCAACTTGTTGGCATTTGCAGAAACCACTAAAACACATTTCTACTGAGTGTACAAACAGAAGCCTGAATGGTCTCTAAAAATTCTTAACATCCACCATGTAAATCTGAGGGAGATAAATGTCATTTGCAAAAGAAGTTGCAATGACAATAAATCTGCATTGTTTAAAGACTGATTGGAAGTTTTCTTGTTCACTTTCACGGAAAAAAAATGATTAGCAGAGATACCCTTTTAATAGTAGCAGTGATGTTCAACACCACATTACTGCAGAGCAGAGACAGGGGTCTCCCCAGGTGTGCTTAAGCCATGCACACAACACCTGGTAAGAGTGCACACAGGGACAACTTTATGCTATTCATCTTATCCTGGGAACTACCAAGAAGCTTAACAAATGCTTACATGTTAAAGTAACCACTGGCCTCCTGTAATTTGCATTTGTTAAAAGCCTTCAAAAGGAAAGCACTTAAACCAGGACTTCTGATGGAAACTGTGTCCTGGCGCTTCAGAGTGCCCAGTAGAAATGACTCCTTCCCTCCTATTCAGGTTTCTCATTGTGCTAGAAAATCTTAAAGTAGCTGTAAGGTCCCTTTCTTCTGCTGGGCAGCCAAAGTGTGCTATGAGTTAGTTATAGGATCTGCTCCAAAGACAGTCTTAGGTTTGCCTAAGGAGCAGAAATAACTCTGAGACAAGAAACGTGTGAGTTTGACACATGCCAACTCATGCATTTGCTGTTAAACAGATGACTAAACTGACCCAGCTGTATATTTTTCTGTAAGTACCATGGTCTGTATACTCCAGATGTAAGATTAGGTCCCTCTAGCTAAAGGGAACTTAAACTTCCGCCCATCGCCTCCTTGCTTCATTCAAATACTCTCTTGGGCTGACTTTCTCAATGCTGACGTTTGGGTTAGGCCTTTGTACTGGTTTTGGCTGTGAGAGAGTTGATTTTCTTCACAGTAGCTCATAGGATTTGTGACCAAAACAGTGTTGATAACACACCGATGTTTTAGCTATTGCTGAGCAGTGCTTACACAGCGTCAAGGCCTTCTCTGCTTCTCACCCCACCCCACCAGCGAGGAGGCTGGGGGTGCACAAGAAGCCGGGAGGGGACACAGCCAGGACAGCTGCCCTCAGCTGACCAAAGGGATATCCCACACCATATGGCATCGTGCTCAGCAATAGCAGCTGGGGGAAGGAGGAGAAAGGGGGGACGTTTGGAGTTACTTCCCAAGTCACCGTTACATGTGATGAAGCCCTGCTTTCCTGCTGGTGGGAAGCAGTGAATGAATTCCCTAATTTGCTTTGCTTGCACACGCAGCTTTGGCTTTACCTATTAAACCCATGAGCTTTCTCACTCTTATCCTTCTGATTCTCTCCCCCATCCCACTGGGGGGGAGTGAGTGAGCAGCTGTGTGGGGTTGAGCTGCTGGCCAGGGTTAACCCACAACAGCCTTGAACCCCTTTTTCTGCAGATCTGGTAAAGAACTCTGCACACTTATGATACACAGGAATTATTAGGAAGCTGACGGTACTAGAAAAATTGTTATTTTGATGCAGGGATCCTTAAAAATATTTTAATTAATAAAATACATTTAGCTTACAATAAAGATGTTAGCAATTTTGTTTGTATAATTCTGTTGCTAGTGACTACTTATCCCATATTTCCATGAGTGATCAAAGAGTCCGGCAACTATAAGAAGTAATTTCAACTTAAACGTTTCCTTTCAACAATAGAAAGTAGCTATTTTTGAACGTTTGACATTTTTAAGAACTCATTACTCAAGTCCTTGGCTTCTACCTGACACTGAATATAACATTAGTTTCTTAAAAATGAGTCATAACATCCTTTACTATTAATTCATCCAAAGGGTTCATGTATCTAGTGCAGGGAGTGGATTTCAAAGACTTGTACTAAGGCGTTATGTCTTTATTGTTCTGAACGACTAATCCAGGCTGTACAACATACACAAACGCAAACATACTACACGTCTCACTATCACATATAATGATTCAGTTAAGCTGTATCAGCATCTTTACATTTGATGTCTTAAATGTCTTAAATCACAGTCCATCAAAAGTGTGCATTCTTCTCATTGGTATAGAATACCTCAACTCATTGCCATTCATTCTCTCCTTCCAAATACACAAAGGAAAATGAAATAGAGAATAACATCATTCTAGCTGTAAAATATCTAAGCAATAAAACCCGATTACCAAATTGCCTTTTTTTGCTGGCCAGACTAAATAAAGTGAAGCTACAAACTCACTACGTTGAAATGAACATACCAGATTTAGCAGCAGCTGATTTCAGATCAGTACATGAGATAAGAACAGCTTTGCTGGCTATCATGGATGATAATTTATTACCAAGTAAGAGAGGATAGAGATCGGTTCTCATCTGCCCACTTGCAACATTTCACATTACCAAAAGGTTTGCCCAACTTTTCTGACTTTCATAGCAAGACATACTAGCTCCCCTCCTTACACAGCCAGAGATATTGATTACAGAACCAAGGCCTGGAAAAATGCCATCAAGAGAGACATTCCACCC